TGGAAACTGTCCAGTTGAATGCATCATAGGAAAACCAAATTGCACCGTGTTTTGGGAAGCCCACCTATCCATCATCGGGACTACGCCAACTTTCTGTCTGACTTCAGATTACACCCCTTCTTCACCACTTCACATATACCCACAAACCTCTCCCTTAAACATTCACTTCCACAGCAAATTCGCAGTTTTTATATAATAATGTGACATTGTTTATTGTGTATTTCATATTTCTCAACGAGTTTAACCATGTAAAAACTGTGCTAATTCAATTTTTATTAATTTTGCTTCTTTTAACGTGTTACTGACAATATTTTTGATTGTTTACCTCAAACTCATTTTTTTTTGTTTTGTTTGTTTTGTTTTGAGACAGGAGTCTCACTCTGTCGCCCACTGGAGTGGCAGTGGCGCAGTCTTGGCTCACTGCAACCTCCACCTCCCAGCTTCAAGCAATTCTTCCTGCCTCAGGTTCCTGAGTAGCTTGATTACAGGTATGCATCACCATGTTCAGCTAATTTTGTATTTTTAGTAGAGACAGGGTTTACCATGTTGGTCAGGCTGTGTTCGAACCTGACCTCGTGTCTGCCCTGCCTCAGCCTCCCAAAGTGCTTAAATGACAGGCGTGGGCCACTGCACGTGACCTCAAACCTTATTTTTCCAGTAAGTCACTTGGTTTTTGTTGTGAGATTTTGCAGAGCACAAAGAATTTCAGCAATGCATACATTCTATTGGAGCAGAACTGACTGTATGGATTTTGGTATGATAAAATTCTCAGAGGCTAAGTGCCAAGGATATTTTGCATTCTCTAGCATTGTTTGTTATGAATGTGGTCAGCTTAGCCTATTTTCCCCTACTGTGTATTTTTTCAATGACTCTGTAGAACTGCCTCAGAAAAACCATTTTTCAAACCTTCAAACTTCAGGGAAAGTTGTGTGACAGTCTCAAAAGTGAAGACTACAAAAAGATGATTAGATACTTGGTCCAATCCTAGGAATGAAGTTTTGTGGTTTTAGCTAATTGATAATTAAGGTCATTGGATCATTTGATTTTTAACAGATTCTAAGGTTCAGATGAGAACATGGAGATATACTTCTTCAGGTATGCAACTTAAACAAATACAAATTTGATAATTTTTACATTTGTAAAAAAAAATATGAAGCCCCTCATTGCATGAAACAAGGAAAATGCTGGACTGGTTTGGTAGAAGGGAAAAAGAATTTTAATCTTCCGAACCAGTAGAGGGTAGGTGTGTACTGTAGGCTTTTTTGTTTGCTTTTAGTGTCTGCTTGTTATGGGTCTGGAAATTGGAGTTTGGGTTTTTGTTTCTGATTCTCCTCAGGGTTCTGACTTTTGGCCACAAGCAGTTACAGGCTGCCAGTACTCTGAGTATCCTCTTGCCACTTCCTGCCGGGCT